TCGAGGGATGAGGGAGTGTGATGCGTTTCTGTGTGTGTGTTGTGCAGGAGTTGTGCCCCAGGGGGTCGCTGTGCCGGTAGTGGGGGCTCTATACCACGGAAGCAGAGAGGGCAGCAACTTCACTCCCAGTGACACCTCCTTCACCTTCAACTTCTTCCCAGAGGGTGTGCCAGCAGAGGTGGCAGCCGAAACGCCCCCCCAGGCCCCTGGCGCGGACGTGGCATCGCTGGACCCCCACCTCCTGCAAGGGCAGAGCTCTGGGTTTGCCTTCAATTTCCCGGTCCCTGCCAGCGAGCCGGCGGAGACGGAACAGAGCACAGCGGAGCAGGGGCCGGACCCTGGAGAGGGGAACTCAGGGAATGCGCAGCAGAAAGACCAGGACCCTGAAGCCCCACCTTCCCAATCCAAGAAAAAGAAGAAGGCCAGCAGGAAGAAACCGCATGCAGAGAAGAGCAAGAGCCAGCAGAAACAGCCACCTGCATCGCAGGAGGCAGAACCCAGAAACACAGGGGAGCTGGCGGCTCTGGTGAGTCGGAGTGCCCTTCTGCAGCAGGCTGGGGTGAAGGGTGTTGAAAATATGCTTTGTGTTTCAAGTTACACTTTTTCATTTTTTTTAGGAACAGACACATGGCACAAAAATACTTTTGGTGAACCTCACTCCAGCAAAATAGTTCACCCATGATTAAAAGATAGCAACCCCAGCTTTTCCAGTGGTACAATATGACCTTGAAATATAATTGTGTGTGTCAGTTTAGGTCTGCAGTTACTCCCATTTTTGATGTTTGCTCTGGAATGTGTGTCATAACTTGAATCTGAGGGAAACACTGTTTGTTGAGGTTTTGCTGATCACGAAACATCTCATCTGTCCAGCCCTAACAAAAGTTATTAATCTAACCCAGCTGTAGTTTGGAAATCCACAGATAATTCAGTTAGAGTCCCAGTTAATCTGTTAAAATATTTTGTGTTGATCACAATTATCAAAGGCAACTCTCGTGTGAGTTTCCAATCCCATCAAGGCGCCAAGCTGTTGTTTATCGGGCTGTACGAGTTGCGTAAGGCCTTAATATACAGAATGGCCATTATGGTTCTGAAAAATTCTGTGTGTCCGTGTTCCAGTCCCCAGAGCAGCAGCTGGCCAGGGAGCTGGACTGGTGTGTGGAGCAGCTGGAGCTCGGCTTGAGGACGCAGAAGTCCACTCCCAAACAAGGTGAGCCAGCAGGACACTGGAGTCATGGAGCCTGCCTGCCTGCCTGCTGCAGTTTTTGAGAACATGTTTTGAACTCGCAGATGCCAGCTCTTTAGGATCAGTATGACAATAGCAGACTTGCCTTGTCAGGGCTGACGAGTGCTGAGCCTGTCAGCTCTAAAACTGGGCCTTGGTCCCCACCCTGATCTGCATCTCCCAATCATTTGGCTAGTACTTGTGCAGTTTTAACTGAAGACTGCAAGCAGATGGTTACTGAGAGTACAATATCAGCTGCAGTTCACCTGGTCGCTAGTGGAGTTTTAAGGAAATAGTTGTGCTGGTTTAGTTTTAAGAAGTGAAACAACTGTAAACAACTTCCCTTGCTCATAAGCGAGAGTATCAGTGTCCCTCTTGAGAATTAAAACAAGAGGGTTACAGTTTTTCTGTTATGGTTTGAACTCTTGTGTGAGTATGCGAACTGCAAAGGAACATGTAGATGGTAATACTACATTGAAAAAGAGCCCCTTTTTTTTTTGCTTTTGCAGACTAGAATTGATGTCTGCTTGTGTTGTCCACCCACAATTGCAGTTCCTCACTCAAACCACAACCAGGTTTAACCAGAAACTCTAGGAAGTCTCAGCAGGGACAATAGAACCTGTTTTGTGGATGTTTAATTGTGTCTGGGTCTCCACTGTTGGCAGTGGAGGAAGCCAACCGTGCACTGAAGACCCTGCGCAGCGACAAGGCCCCGCTGGTCAAGAAGAGACAGGTGATGAGGGCCATGCTGGGGGACTACAGAAAGAAGATGGAGGATGAGAAGGCCAAGCAGGTGAAGCTCATGCAAACAGGTGAGTGATCTATAGGAAAACATTAAAAGGATTGTTGCTGGCCACTGTCTCTTTATCAGCAGCCTTATCAGCTGTGATGAACTGCATTAAAAAAATCTTAAATTAAACCCTCTGTATATACTGTATGGTTCTGAAAAAGTCCATTTAAAAAGTAGCCTTCATTGATTAACAGATAAGACAAACTTCTGTGTGAAAATCTTTCTTAGAAGAAACGGTTGTCCAATTGTTGCATTTAAATGATTATTTTCTCATCAGTGTCTGTGTGTGTGTAATAGGTGTCGTTTTGTGGATGAAAAAAATATTGGTAATACAGAAATTATCTCTGCTCACCTTCAGACAGTTTGAACAGTACTGTAACAACCTAAATGTTTCCATAATTTTGGATATAAGAGCAACTAGAATGATTAGTGGTACATGAGTATGTCTTTCATCTGTGGTTTATGGGTTCTAAACTCCATCCCTAGAATAATTCCAGTGCATTTACAATTTCCAATAGAAACTGCATGTCTGCGGCCAGTTTCTATGGAGCCCTGCCATTCTCCACATCTTATCCTTTCCCGTTAGCTCTGAAGTCGGCCCGTGTCACTGCGGTCTCCGCGCCCCCTAAGAAAGCAGTGTTTCAGCGGAGAGCAGAGCCCCAGACACAGGCGGGACCCCAGGAGCCAGGCCCACAGAGCAAGGAAGACCAGAGGTTTGTCTTCACACCAGCCCAGGAGGAGTTTCACTTCAACTTCTTCTAAACTGACAGGAGTTCTGTCAGACAGTTTTGTGTAAAAAGAAAATATGGTAAGGAAGAGTGAAGTGCAAGAGTTTTCTCTCTTACTAGAGAAGATGTTAATGACTCAAATTGGGGGGCATTGGGTAATCGGTGCTAGAAGTTCTAGGTAAAAGTGAATTTTATCATTTCAGACTTCTTGAGATGAAACTTTTGTAATAACATGACAAGGAAAGTCACCTTGTAAGGCTCTTCTAAGTAAATAGTCTTTTTGTATGCATCTGTATGGTTTAGTAAAATAAAAAAAAAACGATTTTACAGCCTTTACAATTTATCATTGCTACACCGTTGCAGATTAGCAAAACTTGAGTCTGGGTTAAATGGTTAAAAAATGCACATAATGCTTTCAAAAATGACAATAACAGTAAAATTCAGGGGTAATAAGTGAAATTTAATATATGATCAATAACACATTTTACATTTTTATTATAATAAATAGCAATTTAGAAATATATAAATAAATATTTATAGAACGGTAAACCCATGCTACAAAGGTTTTTGGTAGGAAATTCAGAAAACATTTTGTTCTGCCCTGAAAGAGCTGCCATCTCTTTCATTCAGAAATGACTAGTGTAGTGCAATCCAGAGAAAAGGGGTCTTATAGGTTTCTGGCATTAGTCACCATGCTCAACACCAAGTCAAGCATTTAAAAAAGGTCGGGGTGGGGGGTTAGGGTGGTGTAGCCTTTAGTGAAGTTACTGGCCTTGTTCTCCCAGCAACAAGTGGCACATTCTTCCTGGGGCCACTTCAGTGCTTACATACTTTGACAGCTTTTTTTGGAGAATTTATCCAATGTTATTCTCAGAGTCATATACCTTGTGTAGCATGGGCTTACTATACCTCTGAATGTATGGCTTTAGTTCTTGGTTGTGCTGCGGACGCAGGCCTACAGCCCGTTGTGTGGAAGCTGGTGCAGTGTTCAGCTCTGTGCGGTGTCTTGTGGCACAATACCGTGCAGGCTGTCGGGGGACAGGGAATCGAAGAGGCAGCACAGTAGCTTTGCAGCCTGCAAAAACAAGCACGCATCAAGAAAGCACCAGTCACATTGCTCGTCTTAAAAGTGAGCTCTTTCAAGTTAAAAGGTAAATAAGATGGACTGTGTAGCAGCGTTGTCTTCTGTGCCGTGTTGCTACAGGACAGAGCTTGTGTGAGTGCAGTCGGGGGGGAGGGGGCTTGAGTCAGTCACGATCGCTTTACAACAGCAGCCTCAGGGCCTTTCCAGGCTCCCACGAGCTTGCAGCACCGAGTGGTCGAGCTATTTAACAACTGGGGATTCCAGATCATATAGAACATGGAAAAGTAATTTGTGGGGGAAAAAAAAATTCTTGCTGGGCTTTTCCATATTGTGGAGCTGGGAGGTGTCCCTCTGTTGGTTTCCAGGCTGTGTTTATCTGCCACACGTTGCTCTGCTGGAACCTTTCATGACCCTTTCATCTACTTGAAAATTGGTGACTATACAATACTAATGAAGAACAGCAGTTGAGAGAAAATGTTTAAAAGCTAAATACAAAGAGAGATTTTGATAGTTTTTTTTTTTTAACTTGCCTGCTTTTCATTGTAAGGATAAAGAATTGCCCTCCGCACATCCATCAGCTCGGGCTTCTCCAGACAAATACTGAAACAAAATATACTTTAAGATAGAAACAGGTCTTACATACATAACATGGCCTTTAACCCTCAGACTGAAAATTACACATTACATGATTACAGTTTTCCTCAACCACAAACTGTGGATATAGAACAATCAACAGGATTAGGTAGTCTGCCTTATTATTCTCAGTTACAAAATAAATCATACCCAGGATCAGGCTATGAAGGTAAAAATGCTGAAATATGAAAAAGGAGTTTAAATAACAGCAAATGTAGTACGTACCAGTTCTGTACAGCCAGTTGATGGAAACAGATGAGACAATGCATGTCAAAGCAGAAGTGATGCGTGTTATAATGAGGTCTCTACCAACACATTAGATTACAGTTCCTATCTATTCCTCAAAACTGGTGCTTAATATTTAACAGAAACGCTAAGATATAAAAGCACATGGAAATGTACATTTATGTACTTGAATTCAACTTTTTCTGTTGAGAAGTAATTTATGGTAAAGCACACCAGATGTTACCTGTCTAAGATGGACTCGAAGCAGGTGACAGCATTGTCTCCCTGAAGCGCAAGGATCAGACAGGGGACATTGGCCAGCATGGCACTCTGAAAAGAACACAGGCGTAAGATCAAGACTCATCTAATCTTTCACGGCTGTTCTGATACTGGAAGGAGTTCCTGAATTTTTGTAATGACAAAAAATTACAATGCTCTATATGAGGGCTATGCAACTTGTAGATTTTTCATTTTCTTTCACAGCAGAATTTCACTACCACCAGCTGCTTTATTTAATTTGGAACAGGATCTGTGTACCAGAGTGCTGGTTGTATTAAAGCACTGGAAGTATTGCGTGACCCTGTTGTCTGCCTTAGATTTGCACTTCCTAAACCTAGTTAGTTAAATTTGTTCATCCCAGATATAAAAGAGAAGGACACAGATGGCTAACATTGCTGGACACTGATGTGCACTCACCACCGAGGTGCTCTCCTGGGGTGACTTCAGTGCTTCTTCAATGAGCCTGCTCTGCTCGGTGTCCAGCACACAGAGTCTCCCGGCCACCAGGTGGCAGGCTCTCTTCAGCAGCTGCTCCACCAGCTCGAGATCGAGGGCTCGTCGGCGGGACTGCAGGAGCTTGGCTGGGATGAGCAGGCAGGTGGTCTGGCAGAGAGCGCTGCGCACAGAGGGCTCTGACACGCGCACACACACACAAAGAAACAGTACTAGGAGGGAACAGCAGCAGGTTCCTGCTTGAACTGCTGCCATAACACTGGGTATTTAGACAAGCACAGTGAAAATTGCAAGGTACAGCTATGATATTCTCTTAACATACAAATTTGACAATGGGAAACATGTAACATTTAGTTGTAAAACGAATGTTGGTTAGCTTTACAATAGATTTAGTTAATGAAGTTTGCCTAAAGTCTGGTCCTGATAAAGGCAGATGCGTTTGGCTAGATACAAGAAGAACAAACCACAGTGCTGGGTAAAGTCCTGAAAACGAGCTAGATTGTCTTACCTCCCTTCAGTCCTGTGGTTGTGATCAGGGGTATGGTGTCAGTGTTTCTTGTGTGCAGGGCAATCCTGTAACTTTTTATTCGTTCTGTGCTGACAGTGAGGTCAGAGGTCACACATGGTATCTGAGAAAAGTTAATACATTTTGTGATTAAAATCTTTCAAATTGTTCATTTTTGAAGCCAAGATCTATTACTGAAGTCTTAGTCTCCGACTGTGACAAAGGGTGACCACGACATTCAAGCCAGTAGTAATTTTCTTTAACGTTGAAGCCATAAACCAGAACATTTGCCATTTTTACAATTTACTTTATTAACAAGGCATGGTAGGCATTAGGAACAAACTAGATATGGTCTGGCCAAAATGTGGGAGAACAAACACAAAACAGCTGCTTAAAACTTTTATGAACCTGCAAAGTGGCCAGTAATACAAACTTGTTTAACAATTCATGATGTGATCATCTGAGACAAAAATCTACAAAACTAAGGGTGTATAGTGAAAACCTCTGGCTAAAGTAAAGCCACACTTGTGTTTCTACAATCCAGTCTTGAATATATCTTCTATAGGGGTAAATGCCCTTTAGGGTTGTAAATTATGTGCAGCCACAATGTAACAAGGGAAGAGCAAAAACCATTTGTTATTTTGCCTCGGAGAAACGCACCTCTTCATGCTTCATTAATGTGCTTTCCGCACAGCACAGGCCCTCAGGAAAGAACATCTTCACATCTGCGATTGCCTGAAGGTATGACCTGGAGCCTGGAACACAGGAAAACTGTTCAAATGCTCGGAAAGCAAGGTAGCAATACAGAATTTGTTTGGCTTTGGTTCATTTCATTCAAAGCAACACAGCTAAAAAACCTCTCCACAATTTAGCAATTAAAATTGGTCCAAATGCAAAACTAATGGCACCTGTGTGCCTGGTCCTTGCATGCATGGCAGCCATTGTAGACACAAATGGTGGGCACAGGGTGTTGATGCAACACCCTGGGAGATGTGCTTTCATTGTCAAAAGAATGCACCAGATTTATCTGCATTCCACAGGGCAGTTTTCATGCTACAATAAGACTGCAGTTCTGCTCACCATAAACTCCATTGTGAACCAGGTCAGTGCCATAATGAGCTCTCCACAGAAACTGATCCTGGGCTCGAGCTACACAGGGGTCCTCTGGTCCCAGCAAGTCAAGCAACCTCTTCACTGCATTCTCCCTCTGGAGCCCCAGAGCCAGGGAGGGGCCTGAGGTGAGGTACTGCACATGGGCGTCCAGAGCATCAGGCTTCTGCTGAGACAGTGTCACATTGAGAATATTGCTATTGCAGTATATTCATTAAACTCCAAAGCTGTTTAAATAACATACTGACATTAGCCCATTGACCTAATTCTAGAAAAATCACTTAAAAACATTGTTTTAATTGAATAGATGAGTATTATTTAGTTGTTTCATTTCTGTGTCCCTGGGGAACCTCATATTACCAACACCAGCACAGTGCAGCTCTCTTCTGTGTCTGTAATGAAGTACATGTAGATAAAAAGGTGTACAGCTTAATGCAGCAGTTCAATACCCTCAAGAATGTCTCCATGGTCTATCTGAATTTGTTCCAAATTTCATTCAAGGTGAACAGTTTAAGAGAATTATTTAAATTCTCC